TGGGATACTGCAGTCCCATGTGGATCAGAAAACAGCCACAATGTAGTACAACTAAACCCTGATGAAAATAAATATTATCTTCTCACTCCATACCCCACATTAATGCAACCACTCAAAAAATTTTCACCAGAAAGCATTCGCGCTATTGCTCGAAACCCAAATATAGACTTACAATCAATAGGAATCTATTCAAAATCAGATATTCAACATCACATTAGAACACAACAATTCCAAGAATTGTTAACACAGATGGACACTATACAAAGGCAATCAATTGACCAAAATCTACGCAAACTTGCAGAAACCGCAGGATTTGCCGATATCTACACGCAAGACTATAGCGGATATTTTAAAGACATTAAAGATTATATATATCTAAACGGCGAAAAATACCGTCCCCAAGATATATCACCAATTAACATTTTTAGTTTTGTTACACTCAAGAATGAAATCCTTGATTTTCTAGGATGGCCCTACTACATCTTAGAAAAATTGACTATTTTATACGCAATGTTTAACTTTATTGGATTTCTTTTCTCACTTTTAAAAGGAATCTACAACACATGTGCTATACACACACAAGTAAACAGACAAGCAAGCGTAGCACGCATACTCTTTGCAGGATTTTTTGGAATTTTTTCCACATCTATAAACAAAATTCTTTTAGACGCACAAATAAAAGAATACAACACAAAAATAGCAACACGACAAAACACATACGACGAAGAACATAACAATGTAGACATAACGCCAACGGCACCACAATTACCACCCCTACCGCATAACCATCCACTCTCCCTAGTCCCACGAAATTTTCGAAATTTAGCAATCACACATAATCAAAATGTTCGACTCACCACATCACAAAGTCCCATCCAACATATAATGACACACCAATCACAAGATGATAATACTTATGAACAAATTATTGAACAACCCCATACCACCGCTTTTCAATCTCAAAATAATATTTTTTTTAGCCCACGATGAGCCGCCAACTTGGATCACTACACCGATCAAATTCCCATCCAACCAATCTTACCTCTCCAATCCCAATCATACCACTTTTTGCTTTTCCGCCACCCGATTTTCCATCTAGCAATGTAACATCAGGCATGAATTCCGACACTAACTCACATATTTCAGTTTTATACTCCATCTCACAGCTAAATAACCCGAATATTGAAACCCCCGATGAATTTGCCGACTCAGAACCATCCCCATCCAATAATTTTCATAACCCTTCTAATTTTTCTCAACCTCCTTTTCAACCCATATTGTCCAATAACCCTGACCCAATCATTTCCACACCCTCTTATGCTTCCCAAGTTACCCCAACCTACTCCTCATACCATTCTGACCAATCATCTCATTCTGCAGACACCCCCCGAATCTCCCCAGAGCTAGATAATTTTATTACCCTCCAACAACAACCCTACCACCTTAACACCCCGACCATAAACCAAATCTCCTCCACTACACATTCATCCAACCCCCCTACCCCTACACCCTCTTCAAATTATACTGAATCATTAACACCATCATCCACATCCACTATATCTTCACTAAACACTAATAGAGCTTACCGCACTTTTAAAAGAAAATTCCCCAACCATCCTTTCCCAGCAAAACCAGGAACAGCCCGTGAATACATCAACCACCCCCAGCATACTAACACTAAAGAATTTTTAGCTATCACTTTACCCTCATTTCCACAATACACCTTAAACACCCCTCACGACGCTAACGAAACACGCAACTTTGTAGATGAATACGTTTTAATGCCCACTCTCTCTTGGACCTCATACTATCATTTCACTAACCCTCTTTGCTTACCTTTATCCAGCACTTCCATCGATATAGAACGAAATAAAGACATGCTATATCGACTAACTACACCACTAACCGCTAGACAATTTACTTACGTTGGATATAAAAAATCACTAAAAATACACACTGCACCAAGAGCTAATGAATATACACTAGAATACTACGATCACAACATCATCAGAGCTAACCAAGATCAATTCTTAGACGACGATCGCTTCGCTAATCCACAAATCACCGAGAAATTTTTCATCAAGACACCATATGTATTTACACTAAACATCTTCGACCGTAAATATGATCACATTATTTCAGAAGCACTAACAGACACACAAGCATACGAAAGTTTTAAAGAGCGCTTCCAAATCTTTTCACTAACCTTTCATTTCCTTGCACCACACGAAAGAGATTTGCACTGCTCACATGATATTATGTTGCGCACTAAACAAACACATACATACAGTTACTATCGTTTCATCCAAAATCACTTTGACCTACACACACCCTCTAGACAACCACACCATCGTTTTCAATTCATCAATTCAAAATACACTTCACCGTATTTCCTAAATTTCACATATTGTATTAAAGACACTAACCTTCATGGTATTCTTCGTAATTACGACCCCATAACCCAAATGTACATCTTCTGTCCCATCATCAAGACCTTCAACTCCGACGAAAACCGACCCTTCCTTATCCCGCACGAGTTTGTACAACCTATAGAAATCCCAATATTAGAATTCATCCACAACACTAAATTTAATCACAAATTATATAACTTAATCCAAAACACACCTTATGAGTTTGCAGTTGGCACTGAAGAACTAACCACCATTAAAGCACTTCAATTGCTTTGGCCACTGCTTCAAACTAAAAATATCATCCGCATTTTAGCTAAATTACTAACAACTTCAGAACTAATTCACGACATCTTCCCCCACGGTTTTTTCCCCGACGACTAACAGGTAAGTATGAATTAAGTAAATATTACTAACTAATTACAGTATTAAAAACTCACCATTCTTTATTCATGTTTTCCTTATATTTTTAGCTTTCATCCGACAATCACCTACAAAAACCACAAAAGAAACAATAAAAATCACAATTTTCATCAAACAATTTTAAAATTCTATTAATCTCTTACACTTATAAATTTCTAAATTTAATATCAATGCAGTAAATTCATCTATAAAATTTTCCCCCAAAGCAGTAAATCTAATTATGATGAAAATTTGTATCTTAATATTCCCCCATGACTAGCAGTAAATTTCCAAATTCTATGTAGTAAATTAAATAAATGCAAATGCAGTACTAACCTTTTGATATTTTTATTCATTCGCACAGAAATTCTATCCACACTCGCACAGCTCGCCCACGAAGAATCGTTTAAAATAATGAATTTCAGTTTCAAGTTTTCACACTCAACAACTCTAACATAAAATAACATGTTTCAAACTTTCCTTTAACCCGGTTGGAAAGGAATCATATACTAAACAAAACTAACCAACGCAGCTTACTAAATACCACAAATCATAGAATAACAGCATGACTAAGAAAAGGAAACCAACGGTACCCAAACCGGATTAACCCAGTTTAAAACTGGATAATTTATTCTTTTGAAGACTATTACAAAGTCTTAGAAAGAAATAATAAAACACAAAAAAGTCGAAAGACAAACCCATACCACAAACAATTTGATTTTTGGAAAAAGGACATAACCAACAAGACATAAGAAAGACCACAACAAACCCAACATAAAACGTTGTCACATAACAGGACCCCTCATAAAAACCGCATGAAATCATACTCCCACTCCTGGCCTAACCCACCAGAAGAGGACGTCCTGAGCATGCTCTATAGCCGGCCTAACCCACCGCGCTACATCCACGCTTTGTGACCACACTCCTAATTTTAATAAGAGCTACTCAAGGGTGAGTAACTCTTCAAAATAACCGAACTAAAACAAAAAGCTTTTGTGAAAACAACTAACTAAAATCATTATTAAAAAATATTAAACTAATAAAAGTTTTATAAAATGTAAATTATATTATGCAATACATAGATCAGAATACAACATCAAGGACGAACATCAAGAGACAAAACGATCCCACTACACTCGAGAGAGAATGACCAACTACAACCGATATGCCGCTCACAATCACAACTCAAAGGATTTAGAGTACGACTTGACCTCGCAGAAAAGGACTTCATTGAACTAGGCCAATGACCACCTCGATGACCCAAGTGTACGTACAGATCCGAGTAACCAGGCATCCCCTCCACGCACAATCTCCACGCCATTCCCAAGCTAGATCAGACACAAAAGAAGTTCTCCCCGAAGAACAGAAAAACCTGACATAGCCAACCATTCTGAAATCAGAATTGATTTTGTTGCAGAGACTCAGTCGTTGTCACAAGAAGAACACAACGTCTTATGTCCCTAACTCCAGCTTCCTGAAACTTCTTTAACAAAGAAGAAGCGGAAGAAAATTATGATGTTCGCCAAATACCAACGTCCATCATCCATCCTTGAATTACAGAAGAACTGTTCTAAAAAACTCTGTAAAACCCGGATGGGTGGAACCTGATCTAAACTATATTTTATGATTGGATAAATTAAATGTTTTACCAATGTAAAGTATTTAATATTAACCAATCATGATCCATCTAACTAACAATACACTTATTTGAAAGTGCTGAAATTACTTGTAATTTCAGCACCAGAGAGATTTGAATTTAACTTAGAAATTAGTTGGACTCTCCCGAGTACTTCAGCAGCCGCAATAAACCAGTATACCCTAGATCTATTGAGCCTAGCAGAGACTAGTTAAACAACCTGAGACTAGATAGTATAAGAGTAAGATTAGGATCGGTATTAGACTAAGAAGTTGCACGAATCTATCCGGCCGAAAATAAGATAGCGTGACGAGCAGACGGTGTACCCTATCCGAAATTACTCTATGAGTTATACACTCCAGCTCTAACTCAAATATATGAAAATTATTTTAAAAATGAATAATTCGTCTTTCAGTTTTTTATTTTCTAAATTCCAGCTCAAAGTTGTCAAACAAGTTGTCAATTTAAGTTATAAGCATTGAAGATTAATATGACTATCATTGAATGATTAATGATTGCTTAATGATTGGAAAGAATGACTAAAGATGTCTCACCTCGCATTGGTAGGGTTTTTCCTTGCTGTGTGTATTCCTCACATGTCGCTGCAAATTACTCGATATACTGAAGGCTCTGTTGCAGTACTTGCACGCGTACGGCTGCTCTCCCGTGTGAGTCCTGAGATGTCTAGTCAAATTAGATGACCGAGGGAACACTCTGTGACAGAATTTGCACACGTACTTTTCATTGCTAGAGGTACGAGGCGACGGTTCATCTCCCACATTACAAGCATATGCAATCGAATCGTGCGAAGCTGCGGGTTTCAGTAAACCTCTAAAGTACGATGAAGAAAAAGGATAATTCCCAATTCTAGAGAACACATTCAATACTTGCCCTCCGGCATCGGAATCAAATCCAAGTTGAGGTTGTTGTAGCAATTTCTCGTGCTCAAATTGATCGGAAGCGTTTTCCATGCTCAGCCAAGCAGGCTGCTCAGAGTCAAGAGCATTTGCTTCCGGATGACCAAATTGCAGAAATTTTTGGACTTGTCCAAAGTTTTTAGCCTGATTCAAAGTTCCGTTGGAAACATGATGTTTGTTCTCTGCTAGCCCATTTTGAGAGTCACAGTCAAACATTTCTTGTTCAGTCGAATAGTTCGCATCATCTACAATTTCAACGTCAATTAGTTCGGTTTCGGCTTCCATTTTGATTGTCGAGTTGTTTTGTTCGTCTTTGTTTTCATTTCCCATCAAATCCATCTCGCATTTTTCGTAGTTTATCTTGTTTGGACTCTCGCTTGTTTCCGATATCTCCTCTTTGACTTCCTGGTCCGAGCCGAACTGGTTTCTCGGGTTGCTCCAATCAAGCGGCATCAGTGACTGGCGGCTCGTATCTTCTGAAATTTCTTCTCTTTGCATGAAAGCTTCCTCTTCGGAGCTCAAACTGCGTTGATTCTTAACTCTGTTCTCGTTAGCCGAGCCGATAACAGAAGCCGAGACGCAGCTTCCTGTCATGAAATGAGTGTTTGGAGTACAAACATTCAAGCGTTGTGCTGCTGTGGTCACTACCGATGTTGATGGCCGGTGTACTACGTTCAGTAACTCTTCTATGCAGAACCCGCCTCGGTGTTTGTTAAAAGCTCTGATGGATTTGAAACTATCGCCGCAAGTAGAGCAAGTTACTTTTCGTTTGTGCTTTCGCTTGTGTCGGCATAGGTTTGAGAGTTGAGTGTAAGATCTTTTACAAATCTCGCAGACGAATGGCTTCAACACACCGCTGCTGTGTATGTGCATGTGCTGTTTCCGTCCACTAATTGTAGCGAACTGTTTTCCGCATATTTTGCAGGAGAAATTGCGACAAGGAGACGCTTGTTCCTGGTGATTACGAGACTCCATAGATTCAATGCGACTTGGGGTCTTGGGAGTTTATGAGAGTTGGGATCTGAATCGTCGGTGCTTGGAGAGGCCAACTGAAAAATGAGGCGGTAATAAAAGAAAAGAATATATCTAACATTAACCATTTGAACAGTTCATCAACGCGGCGAAAGAAAAACACGAAACTGAACAAAGAATGGCCTGCTGCTGTGCAAACAGCAAAGAACCTTCCGACCACTATAATTTTTATAACAGCTCCCAGAACAACTAGATTGAACAACTAGGTCTGAAAATTAGGCTGAAAAACAAAAAAAACACATTTTCAGAAAAAAGCATGAATCAGAACGAAAAAAAAAACATGAATCAGAACCAGTAAAGCAGCTTTAATATAACACCATACTTACTCCTGAAGTGGTCGGAACAAAAACTTTCAAATAAATTGAAGCTTTCCTCAATTATTTTTGTTTCTTTTTTGATGATAATATTAGACTTTTTCATAAGTATCAAATGCTTTTTTTGGTGATATAAAATTTAGCTTACTTGATTTTTGTAGTGTATCTAATGCGCAGAGTTTTTCCAAAATCATGAGCTTGTATAGCATTATATCGTGTTTTTTCTGTTGTTCTTAAGCGTGGCAACTTATGTTCTTAGGCTCGCTTTCTTGAATGTGGCTTTCTTGTATGTTTGGACTTTTTAACGGTAAGCTGGCTTTGTTTTTACTTGTACCTTTTCTCGATTAGTGAAGCATACCACATGCCAGATCTGAACTGGCATCGTATGCTTCACTAACAGTTACTGATCTGCTAAATGATTTTACAAAATCGTAATATAATTCATAAACACATGTTTCTATTTATTTTCGAACATCGATCTGAACATCTATTGAAAATAGGCGATTGAAACTTGGTAAAGAAATGACATTATTTGGAAGTTGAGAGTATTGGGTTAGGGTTAGGGTTAGGGTTATCGAACTTAAAAGCAAACTAAAATACCTTTCTGACCGTTTATTTTTCGAATTTTCAAAAAAGTAATTGAATATTTGTCCTCGACAGGGGCGGGTTTAGGAGAGTGAGCGGGGGGGGGGGGGGGAGGGGGGGACGGATGCCTTTACTTCCTTCCTCAGGGAATCGACCCCATTCCAACCCAAAGGGTCTTCCCTTTGTACTTTTTTGAGATATCCATTTGTGGCTGACTGACCCTAAAATTTGTCTAAAGGCGCCTTAGGCGCCAATATATTCAAGTTTTTAGAGGGGAGCGCCCGCCGAAAAAACGCGGTTTTTTGGTCAACATTTTTCAAAAAGTGCTATAAAACGCTTTTATGGCCTGTTTTCTTTTAAATATGCCTGCGGCGCAGAAAATTTGGCCAAACCAAGGTCATTTTAGTGCTTTGGGAGAGCTCGGAAAATCAATTTGGTTGAGTTTAAAGATAGAAAGGTCGACAAAATTTTCTTAAAATGTACATTTTACGAACTTAAATGGATTTTAAATCGATTTAAGTGTCTAAAAAATTGATTTAAATCGATTTTGATGATTTTCCGACTCACTAAAATCCATCCGAATCTCACTTAAATCCATCAGAATCTCACTTAAATCCATTTTAAATCGATTTAAATCGATCTTTTTGAAAATTTTGAATCAAGTTAAGTGTCTAAAAAATCGATTTAAATCGATTTCGATGGATTTTCCGACACAAAAAAAAATCGATTTTTTTGCTAACAAGGCAAAAAAACATGTTATTTAGAAAACTAATTGTAATAATTGCAACCCCACGATATTTAACCCCCTATGTTTACACCCCCTATATTATAACCCCGAGTTTGAAAACCGCCAATTCGGCCAATATAAACAATTAACAAGCAGTAAGTTTCGTGCTTTGAACGCGTACGCGGCGATTTGATCCAGTGGACTTTATTTTGATTGATCAATATTAATAGAATGGCAGCACCTAACGCAACAAATCGTAAATCAGTGCATAGCTCTGAATATGCCAACTGCTCCTTAATTGGTATCTACCGAATAGTGGATCAACCGTACAAATCCCTCCCCCAAGCGTATTTTGTTGGTAATTACATAAATTAATTTTTTAATTCAGTTTTCTTTAATACGGTTAATTTTGAACGAATCTAGGCTATACTCATAGTTAGCTCAAGAAAAATCCATGTTTTCTCCCCCCTCAATCGATTTGAAGAAGAAATTGTACCGTTGATCCCGAATAAATTTTGCTAAGGAAAATAATCATAAGCTAAAAATTTTGGACAAAATCAAACATCAAATATAAAAATTTAGGCCAAATAAAAATAATGTGATCAAATAGCTGGCCTCAATTTAATCAATTTGGAATGATTCGGTAATGCGTGATAATTTGCTAATTCGCCACGCGTAAATATTTTGCGTTACGCTCTCAGCATCAAAAATAATAACTATCAGCGCGCATAAGTTAGTTCAGAGCATAGCCAACTTCTGAATTTGTGAATTGGCACTCAAGAAGTTGATGTCTTCAATGGGGTATATATTTTTTCATTAACACAATTGAATTATTGAGCCTAGCTTGATGGTTTAACACTTCTTTTTTCCAACCTAATTCTGAAACAAAAGTGCGGACCAAAAAGAACAATCTCCCCCCTAAATCAAGTCAGGGGGAGATCGCTCACTTGGTTAAGTGTAATGTTTTTCAGGCAATCAGATTTGAGCATAGTACACGCAGGCCTTACTGCTTGAATTGGCCATTTCATTTTAGCGGGGGGGGTTTCACTTGTTCTATTCAGAGGAGAGAGATTGTTCACATGGGCCTAAAGTGCTAATTTGTAGGCAGTTTTGCTATAATCATGATCTCTAGCATTGAAAATTTCATCGCAATTTTTCTTTGTATTGTTTGTATCTGCTAGTGAGGATTTCTATTCCAAATTTTGCATAAGTTTTATTTATAATTGGTGGCGTTTTTGCTGCATAGCATTGGCAATTTATTGGCATCTGAAGCTACTGGTTTGTTAACTAGTGATAGGAAACTTTTTCTAGCTTGTGGCGCAGATGCGAAAGCGTGAGACTTTAAAGCCCGAAGTCTCAGGTTCGAATCTGACACATAGCAAAAATTTAAATAATTCAAACTTGGTTTCTTCTTGTCTTGTTTTTGTTTCTTGTGCTGTTTTTGTGTTTTCTCGCTTGTGTTTGTGCACTGCCGCTTGGCCTCTGTTTAAGAACTGATTTCCCTAATCGAAATTCGACTAAAAAATTAGACCTAATTGTTTAGACCCAACTCGATAAGCTTAGATCTAACTGATTTGAAGAGGTTGATATACAGCGCTGATTTTTATCATCTAGACAAAAGAAACAAAATGGATTTTTTAAAATTCGTTGTATCAAATTGGATTGAAATAAGACTAAATTTGATATGAACAAGGGTTGCTGAGATTTTTACCAAACTGCTATGAAGGAATAAACTTATTTATGAACTTGGGTGTTAACCTTCCACAACAAAATGTTTCACAACAAATCAATCAAAAGTGACGATAAACCAACCAATTAAATCGAAAAAGAATTCTTTTCGTCTCATTTTTTCCTGTGCTTTACTTAAATTATTTCGATTATTGTAGGCACATTCGCAGTGATAAGCTATCCTGGTTATTGTTTCGATTTTCGAGGAAACGGAAAACTTATGCTTGGTGTGGTTTTTCATTCAGTCAATTTTCGGCATTCGAAATAATCGTTTTTAACTAAGAGTTTTTTTCACCATTTAGATGTTGACTCCTTAAAATCGAATTGATAAAAAATACATATTCTAACTGAGATAATTTTTTTGAAAACTGCCATTTTGGTCATGCTCCAGACTAATTTATGTGGCTTTGAAGTTTTTATCCAATAACCCTGAAAACATAATGCGAATTATTTATGCGCGACGAATTATTCAGGGCAGCGAAATCATTTGAGGCTTGTTAATTAAACGAAATCAAATTGAATTGAGGCTAGTGAATTGGTTGTGTTAACTTCGTACGACTCAAAGTTTCATTCTTGATCTTTGATATAGTCCATAAATTATTGTTTTTCAATAGTCTTTTTTCACAGAAATTATTCCACATAGATTAAGGGGCAGTCGGAGCATTCAGGGCTTTCATTTATACATGAGCAATCTTGTTAAACTGTTTCTATCTGATAATTTTTTGAAAAAAATAACCATGATTATGTTTCGTAAAACTAAGGTGGTGCGAAATTTGACAAAATTGGGACAATTAATGCGCAATAAATTTTTATCCAGCTCAAAAATAGTTTCAGTTTGATTTTGGGGCAGCCATTCTCAACTATTGAACTTTGTTATACGCTAATTACAACTTTTTGTAATTTACACTTCGAGTGGCTTAATATTAAAAAATTCTGGAAAAGCCTCCAAACTTTTATTGTTTTAACACTCGCCGAAGCAAGTGTCTTGTAATCGGGAATTAGGTTTTTTTCCCAAAAAACAATTTTTCCTAAACATTTGTAAGAAATTGATGTTGCTTTACTATTCAATCTTGGTAACTTCCATGCCCCTTCCAACGTAGTCTGGAAGTATTTAGTTGCCTTTGCACCCTATGGTCTGGGGTTCGATCCCGGCCTGACCTTATTTTTTAGTGTATGAAATAGAATTTTTTTCAGGAAAATTTGTATAGCCTTGTCGATTAATGATTTATCGGCTTATTTGCCACACCATGGTTTCTTTTGCATTGTAAGCAGTTTTTATTTAAGCTGGAAGTGACGTTGATTATTTTCTGTAGCTGGTAATTTT